AGATAGAAAACTTTGAATCAATCTGACTGGTGATCTGTAAAGTGCCATGAGATGACGTGTAGTCCAGAGAGTCCCATTCTCTGCTTTAGTGCTTTGAAATCCCCCTAAACCCGATGGGTCTACTTCAGATAATATTGATCTTCTAAGCTCTGCATTGGGACGGATGTGTCACACATTAAAATCTTTGCTCCCTCAGGTGATTGAGACACTTCAGAGGAAAAGTCTAACATTTAGCTGCATTTGCAATTAAATGCTGTAAAAACAGAAATAAACTCTAGTTCTGGTGTCTGTCTAAACGTGTTTTCTTCCATGACAGGATGTAAAGAATCGGAGAAACCCTCGCCTCGTTCCCTACGTCCTGCTTGATGAGAGAACCAAGAAGTCGAATAAAGACAGCCTGAGAGAGGCAGTGAGGACGCTGCTGGGATACGGATACAACCTGGAAGCTCCGGACCAGGATCATGGTACCATCCTGAACCCACTCTTACAACCACATAACTTACTAATATAATAGATGAGGGGAAGATATATTTAATTCAAAATTATGGGATAATAAATGGAGTGGAAGTGGACAGCTGACAGAAAGGTGTATAACAGCTATATAATACAAATAAATAGTTAAAAATCATATATTGGGATTTCTGGATAGTTTTTTTAGAGTCTCTTACATTGGACATGCACCTACCAGGGCAATTTCAGACCCCTCATTGATTTCTTAGTGGGAGAACTTGCAAAATAGCAGGCTGTTCAAATACTTATTTTCTTCACTGTTTTTATACCAGGAAATTATAAAATTCATAATTAGATAAATAAATGCCCTATTAAAGGAAAAGTCCTGTCAGCAGGAATAATCAGTGGATTATTATTTATACCTAAAACCAATATGTTCGCGGTGATTGAATGAATTTTGCATTAATCAGTAAAAAAATAAAAACTATAATTTTCTTAGCAATCACTGAATCTGGGAGCGGCCATTTTTTCCCAAATATAGTAACCCCTCCCTCCTGCCATCTTCCAGCAGCGATGTCACGGTGCGGTAAGCCTAGCGCCATTCTCCCCGCTTTACAAGCAAAATCAATGGGAACTACTAGACACATCTGCAATCAACAACAATTATTGAAGATTTCCAGAGGACTTCACCATTGAAATTCACC